CAATTTTTCATATAGAATAATTTTCAATAAAATGAGTATGCAGAATGATTTTAGAAAAAGTAGTGAACGCGTATAATGACTTTTTTAAGTGATGGTTGCGGTTCAATCTCCAAAAAAGGTAGATGCATCCAGATTTTTATGAAAAAATGCTGTAAGCACAATATTTAACCGAAAAATAATTTTAAAAAATAATGGTTACATGATTTCTCAAAAATAGGGAATGTAGTGAGAAACAAAAATTGTGGATGTGCAATTTTTCAAAAAATCAATGTGCATTTTTCAAACAGGTGAATATACAATTTTTCAAAAAAAAAAAATGGAGTATACAGAATGATTTTTAAAAAAATACTAAATGCAGAATGACAAATGGTGGATGTGTAATATTTCACAAAAAATGGTGGAGACTGAATAAAGTGATATTTTTCAGAAATGTTGGATACAGATTTGTTTTCCAAAAAATGGTACATGCAGAATGATTTTCTGAAAAATGTTGATAGCATGACTTTCCAATAAGTGGTGGATGCATGACTTTTAAAAACTGAAAATAGCCTGAATTTTCAAAATGGTGAATGCAGAAACAAACATAAATGGTGGATGTAAAATTATTTTTCAATTAATGGCGGAAACAGAATGGTTTAAAAAAATGCTGAATGCACCATCATCTTTCAAAAAATGAAGGTGAAGAGAAACTAGAAGAATAAAAAAAATACATTTTTGTTTTGGAAAATGTAGCTACATCCCTTTTTCTAAAAAATGAGGCAACATTCACCCCTTTTCAAAAATCCTTAATCATTCACCATTTAAAAAAATAAATGTACATTTAACTCTTTTAGAAAAAACATTACAATTTTCTTGTAAATCCCTGACCATCGACCTTTTTTTGGAAGGTGTGACTGCATCCACTGCAATTCAAATGCAGCTTTTTTAATAGTCGCTATAATTTAAAAAATGGTGAATGCCTGTAGCCCCCCATCATAAGTATTTTGGAGAGGTAAGTTTTGCAATTTTTTTGGATTGCACTAAACTATATACGATGTGGGTCATGAATCATTTTTGCTGTATATCTATTTTTTCTGCAAACAGAATATAAATACAATTAAAACAGATCAAACTAAACAACTTCATGGATACAAATACCAGTCATAACATATGTACACATCCAGTAATTAACAAATATAAAAAAATGTGTCAGTGAAATTGGACAAATTACCGCTCATCTATTCAGCTACACAAATGATACTGATGAATCAGCTGAATACTTACAATTAACTTTCTTCTGGATGAATCTCAACTTCATAGCAGTTCTATATGAAGCAAACCTAATGAGATCAAAATTATTTGAACTCATTTCGTGGATCAATGCTAGTCTATGGTCCGACGAGCCGGATAAACCCTCTTGAGACTGCATCTTCCTAAAACAGTTTAAAAAATACTTTACTGTACCTTGTAAACCTACAAAAGGTATGTAAATATTATTGGAAGGATTATTTTATTTCTTTCGATTCCCATACCTTCTAGATTGTGGGGTTTCCAATTTATTTTAGCCGGGTTGTTACGATTTCTACTTACGGGTTTTCTGTGAAGAACAGTTTTTTCAAATGCAGTTAACTGAATATTTCTACATTTTTATCCATTTCTAATTTCCAATAATTTCTGGCCCTGCACCATTTTCTTGAGAATTTTGAGCGCACAAAACATAAAACGCACAGAACGTAAAGTTGGCACATGTCAAATGTTTTATCATGTCAAGCGCGACATCTACTAGGTAATAGATCAACTGAGTGCTCTAGACATTTTATGGGATAAACATTACTTTTAAATTACCAAATCGTACTCCTGCATCTCTTTATCTTGTTGATCTGTGGTCGTGACACAGAACATCTGTTTTTTCTGTATCTGTTTGTTGTTCTGTGGATTTCTGTCAAGAAAGATGATTTTGGTTATGTTCTGTTGACAACTTTTAAAATTCATTTACAACGATTTTCATTTCATCGTTTAGGATGTCTTTAGAACAAACTGCATGCGAAGGTGACGAATCTTTCTGTCGTGTTGTGGTTATAGCATATTAAAACAGACATTGTTGCAGATTTGAAAGCTTTCGAAAGGCGGTTGACTGAGGTGATAGCTTGTTTACATCCTTCTACAACAAGATGGAGAAGTGAGTCTCCTGTATTTTCCGTTTTCCATTAAAACAGTGCTATTATTTTTTGTATTTTTGCAGTTGTGCTAGTTGCTGTATCGATATGCGTTGCCACGGGGGCCAGCCAATGGATTCTAGATCCTGAAACAAGGATAGTTTCTTTATCACAGTCGCTTTCAAATCATCCTTTTTTATATTATCGACTATAATATTGAGTAAGTAACATCATTACGCCCATATCAATTTCAATTTCGCCCCGTGTTACTTTGGTATCATTTCAATGGCCATATTTAAATTCAGCTCCCCAAATTACCGAAGTTTCATTTGCGATAGTAAACATTATTTTGCCTTACAATTGCTTTCCATAGCCGATAATTTTTTTAGCATTTCTCGTACTTTTTCATTCAAGAGAGAAGCAATGCTATCAATTCTGATTGATCATTAGTAAATGTTAACTTTGCACAGGCATCTGTAAGCAACAGACCAATTTCTCATCAATGAACTAAGCAAAGACACTTTTTCAGTCACTATATTGCTGCTAGGCGTTCACAAACGAGTGATAGCAGCGTCTATAATAACATCAAGAACTCGAGAGGTGTTAGGTGACTTCAACATGTCATGTGATGATACTGGAAAGCTGATTCTGCGACCAAGACCGACAAACATCACTTGACAGCAATTCACCAGTGTTGGTTACATTGTGTAAATATGGTAATATTAATGTGTATAGTGAGTCAATAAACTGTATTTAGGATGACTGAAGATATGAGGTTTTTTTTACTTACCTTATAATAATAGTAATAAAGAATTTATTGCCAAACAGTGCATATGTCATTTAGAGAGCACTGGTTTAATTTACAGTCTGTGTGCCATAAGGTGAAAAAAAAATACAAAAAGAGAAAGACCTCTAAGTAGAGAGAAAACAAACTATAAATATGATTAATAGATATTAGGAAAAAAGAATACAGTGAAAGCTCCCATAAGCGGACACTCACGGTTCCGTAACTTTTGTCCGCTTATGGGAGGTGTCCGTTTAAAAGAGAGTATGTAAGTATAGAGTATAAATAACGGGGTATATAATCATGAGGAAATGAGGTATCATAATCATGAGAAAAATGAAACAGAAACTCGCCACATTTTTAAAGTATGTATTTATGCTATATATCTATATAATATATGTACATATACGCATACAAAAACATAAATGCTTCAATACATGGTACGAGAATTAAAAAAAAAACATTATTCTTTAGCTTGTTGAAAAAATTTTAAAATGTTTGTCTGACGAAATTTCACCATCTTTTGCTGAAGGAGACAATTTTCGTAATAACTTTCTAAATTTTTCAAATGTTGAAATGCAGTGAAATCATCTTTAGCAAATTTTTTCAATATAGAAATATGATTTAGAGCTTCCCCATATGAATTTATCGTTTTTGAACCGCTTAGTGAGTCCACTTCTTCTTCTGAGTCGTTTGGACTACCATATTCAAGTTGGCCTGGGCTTTCTACATCCAAATTCGAAAAGTTGCCAATGGCATTTTCTTCTGTTGTTATGTTATTGTCTATGGCCAGGAAATCATCTACTTTCTGGGGATCTGCTACTCCTAAATGTTTGGCATGTCGCAGTAACTGAGCAAGTGTCGCTAAGGGCAGATCGTCTTCAGCATCGCAATAATTTTGCTCAGCAAATTCTGAGCTACATTCACTTTTTCTGATTCCAGCTTTGCCAAAACAGTTTTTAATTGTAGAGGAATTTACTTTATTCCATGCTGTTTTTATAAAATACAAAGCTTCTAACACATTGATAGACTTTGTAAGCTCAGATAAGCTTTGACCATCGTCAATTTTTGTTAAAATATGTTTTAAAATCAAGTGCCGATAATAAAATTTAAAGTTCTGTATGACACCTTGATCCATGGGCTGACAAACAGAAGTTGTGTTTGGCGGTAAAAATATAATTTTCACATTTTTCATTTTCATATCACGAGGATGAGAGCATGCATTGTCTAAAAATAAAAGAACTTGCCTTTTTTGGATTCTCATTTTCCGGTCGAATTCGACTAACCACTCAGACATGATTTCTCGGGTCATCCATGCCTTTTTGTTGGATTTCCAAGTCGCTGGTAGATCCTTAATAGCAACGTTTTTTAAAGCACGGGGACGAGCCGCTTTCCCGATCACAATCAAATCGCATTTTTCACCGGCCATATTTGCACAGAATAAAATGGTTAGTCTATCTTTAGACAACTTTCCACCCACACATGTTTCTCCTTTAAAGGACAGAGTTTTGTCGGGCAATGCGCGAAAAAAAAGTCCACTCTCATCTGCGTTGTACACATCTTCTGGTTTGTAGCCAAGCAACATGGACGGAAGTTTCTCCAAAAATTGTGACACATCAACTTGATCTACTGCAGCAGCTTCGCCAGATATGCATTTGAAACTCACACTATGTCTCTTGCGCCACTTTTGCAGCCACCCGTCGGACGCACTGAAATTATTATAGCCCAAAGTAGTGGCGATTTCTTTAGCTTTCATTTTCACTAACGGACCTGAGATTGGAATGTTCTGACTTCTAGCTTTCACAAACCACTCAAAACATGTTTTGTCTATAGCAAAACCTTCCTTTTTTAAAAAATCCTTCTTTTGATTTATATTAGTTCCTGATTGCCATTTACTCCTGATATCTTCCTTATTTTTGGCAATTTCAGCTGCTTGCGTTTTCCCAATATTAAACCTCTTTGCCAAATGACGAACTGAAACACTTTCTCTGTCTAATACGTTAACAACTTCCATCTTTTCCTTTAACGAGAGCATCCCTTTTTTGGTGCCATTTTACAGTTACAATAATAAAATACGTAACTCAATCAACTACGAATTTGCCTGAACTGAAGACAAGCCACAAGATTACATACAGGCTACCCAACGAAATGCGTAAATGGGGAATCACCTAATATAAATCGGGGAATTACCGAATTTTATGTATGTAGATATGTGCATTGCAATAAGCGGAACTAAAAAATCGTCCGGGTATTAGAGTTTCGCGTCCGCTTATGGGAGATGGGACATACAGGAAAATCTAGTGTCCGCGTCCGTTTATAAGAGCGTCCGTTTATCGGAATGCATTTAACATTGAAAATTGATGGCTGAAATTCGGTTCCAGGAACTTTGTCCGGTTAAAAGAGATGTCCGCTTATAGGAGCTGTCCGCAAGGAGAGCTTTCACTGTATACGTAGTCATGCCATAAGTTCTGTCCCTCGTTTTCAAACAAGTGTAGACCTGTTAATACTTGTCCGATTGTTTACATTGTGGTGTCAGTTGATTAAGCGCTTTTCGGGTAATTACATATACCTCAGTTTGTATTGATCTCTCGAAGCATAACGATGGAGTGGGGCAAGGCAGAGAACCGTATTGCAGTGATAGCTTTACATAAGTGTAATCACAGTGCTAGTCAGATTTTTGAACTCTTACGCGGCCTTCAAATATCGCGTAAATTTGTGTCTAGGACCATTCAGCGGTACAATGAGACGTCCTCTGTTGATGACAGGCCAAGAAGCGGAAGACCTCGTCAAGTAAGGACTCCAGCAGCCATCAAAGCCGTAAAAGCCAGGATTCAAAGGAATCCACTCCGGAAGCAGAAGATCCTATCCAGGGAAATGAAGATTCCTGTCCGGACGATGTCGCGCATCATTAAACAAGACCTAGGGCTAGGGGCTTACCGGAGACGTACGGGCCAGCGACTTACGGCCACCTTGCGACACATCAGGGCGACAAGATCCAAGAAGCTCTTGGAGAGGTACGCAGCTGGGGGATTCCGAAAGATTTTGTTCACGGATGAGAAAATCTTCACCATAGAAGAAAAATTCAACCGACAAAATGACAAAGTGTATGCAAGGAGTTCACAGGAAGCTTCGGAGATCATTCCGAGAGTTGAGAGAGGCCACCACCCTGCGTCAGTCATGGTTTGGTGGGGGGTGTCCTACGAAGGGGTCACTCAGCTCCATTTCTGTAAACAGGGCGTGAAAACAAAAGCGGCAAACTATCAGAGCGACATACTGGATCCTATCGTCAAGCCTTTAAGTGGTACATTGTTTGCCAACCAACACTGGGTCTACCAGCAGGATTCCGCCCCCGCTCACAAGGCTAAGAGTACGCAGCGCTGGCTGGAAAGCAATGTGCCAGTTCATTGCTGCGGAAGATTGGCCCTCAGGGAGTCCGGACCTCAATCCTTTAGACTACAAGTTGTGGGACCTGCTAGAGCAGTTGGCCTGCTCCAAAGCCCACCGTAATATCGAGTCCCTGAAAGCGGATTTGATCCGATCAGCGGCAGCTATTCCTTTGGAAGCTGTGCGTGCAGTGATAGATGAGTGGCCCGCGAGATTGAAGCAGTGTGTGAAGGCCAAGGGGGGACATTTTGAATAAAACTGTTTGATTATGAATTCTAAAAATGTTGTCGAATAAATAATATCTTTCATATAAATATATCTTATCTTGTTTCATTTTTATCATGAGATTATCATGGGACAGAACTTATGGCACGACTACGTATAGCTATGTAATGTAATGTTCACACAAATACAGTAAGTTTGGAAACAAATATTAACATTATTATGAACTATTTGATGTACCTAAATTAAAATTGTGCAGGAACAGATCATATAAATATTAAAGTCTTGCTTTGACTCCTGTAGTAATACAAGTTTTATTTTACCAATATTCAAATCCTCTGAAAATAAAAAAGCGTTTTTTAAATACCACAGTTTTTGTAACGACAAAAGTATCGAAACATTCCAGTTTTGACGTATTTACAGGGTTTGTCCGGAAAGTAATAGGACTGAGTCGATTTAAAAACATTTATCGAGCCAATCGTTACAATTCTTTAAAAACCGACTGACCCTTCGTTTGAGTCTCCTGAGCACTTCCACGTAAAACTTGGCGTTGACGGTTTGTCCAGGAGGAACAGATTCATGGTGGACGATGCCTTTGATGTCAAAAAAGACAATGAGTATCGTTTTCACTTTGTATTTGCTCATTCTTCCCTTTTTTGGGCGAGGAGACGCCGTCGTGTGCCACTCGGAAGATTGCCTCTTTGTCTCGGGATCATACTCAAAGATCCACGACTCGTCACCTGTGATTACGTTATTCAAAAATTGGGGGTCACTTTCACACATGTTCAAATTTTCATGGCACACTTCCACTCGCCGCAATTTCTGGTCGTCAGTGAGCACTTTTGGGACCATCTTCGCGCACAGGCCGTACGCAAAGAGCAAGAGGCACTGGACGCCGCCGTAGAACAACAGACCGTGAAGATCGCCGCCTAAGATTATTGGCCTTAAGGGACCGTTTCTCCACTACCAGGTCCATTGCAAATGAATGGTTTGCAGAACACGGAATACCTATTGGCATGCGAAGTGTTTACCGACGAATCAGAAGTTTTGGCTTGTTTTCATACCGGCCACACTGGGTCCTCCCTTTAACTCGAGAACACCGACGTAATCGCCTTGAGTGGTGCAGACAACGGTCACTCTGGGATCAGGAGTGGAACAGTATTGTCTTTAGTGACGAGTCTCGATTTTGTTTAGGCATGCACGATGGTCGTGCCAGGGTTAGAAGGCGACGTGGTGAAAGGACGAATCCACAGTTTTTTGTTGAAAGACATGTTCATCACACTGTTGGAGTTATGGTTTGGGGCGCTATAGCTTATGGTTCCAGGTCACCTTTAATCTTCATCAGAGGTAACATGAACGCCAGCGTTATATCCACGAAGTTCTAGAACCCCATCTTTTACCCTATCTTGACACCCTGGCAGATCCAACTTTCCAACAAGATAATGCTCGACCACATGTTGCAAGAGTCACAATAGACTTCTTTCAACATAATGATGTCACATTGTTACCATGGCCATCAAGATCTCCCGACTTATCCCCAATTGAGTACGTGTGGGATATGATGGGTAGGAGATTGCTCAATTTGCAACGTCCTCCTCACACTCTAGAAGCACTTCGAGAGGAGTTGGTGGTTGCCTGGAATGATATACCACAGGAGGACATTGACCACCTGATCAGAAGCATGCCTAGGCGCGTTGGAGAATGCGTAGCACATCAGGGTGCATCCACACATTATTAAAGGTCAAAGGGCTTTAAAGCAGTGCAATCATTTTGAAATTTTTATCATTTACTTATTATGCTTCATTAAGTACTTATACAAAATTTTAATAAAATAAAACCATTTAAACTGGGTGTTCGGATTTATATGTCACTTAGTATACTAACATCAGTGAGAATGGCAAAAGTAAATGAATGTCCAAAAGATTTAAGAGACAAAGTGATTGAATTATTTAGAAGTGGTGACAGAAATGCTGACATTTCTCAAAGATAAAAAGGGACGATTTCGACAATTATTAGTAAATATCAAGGATACAGGTCAACAGCAACGCGGCCCAGGTGCGGTAGATCGAAAAAACTGATTATGTTTTGGATCGCTACATTAAACGTTTGTCCCATGAAGATCCTCTAATGCCAGCCACACGGGTGTTCAAAAGAATCGTAGAAGAGGGTGCCGAGAATCTTTGTTAGAACAGTGCAGAGACGCTTGGTGAATTTTGGGCTTTTTGGTAGGCGTCAAGTGCAAAAGCATCTCATTTAAATAAAAATCGTATCGCTTCGCTTAAATTTGCTAAAACTAATCTGACTTGGACAAAACAACAATGAAATACAATTTTTTGGAGCAATGAAAGCAAATTTAACTTATTTGGATCTGACGGTACGGCATCATCATGGTTTGGGGCTGTTTTTCTAGTTCTGGAATGGGTCCAATTGTTGAAATTGTTGGGAAAATGGATCAAAAACTTTACAAAGGCATTCTTAACGAACACATGATCCCTTTTGTTAAAGAAAAAATGCTTTTATGATGCACATTCTAGCAAGGTAATGACCCCAAGCACACCTCAAAATTCGTAAAGGACTGGTTAAGAATAAAAAATGTTCTTACATGGCCTTCGAAATCCCCGGACCTAAACCCTATAGAACATCTCTGGAAGCATGTTAAAAAACAACTGACAAGAAAAACTAAAAAATAGAAACCATTCATTTGACCATGTAAAAAATATTTGGCAAAATATACTAAGTGATATATAAATCCGAACACCCAGTTTAAATGATTTTATTTTAATAAAAGTTGGTGAATGTATTTATCTTACTGTAAATAACAAGTGAAAAAAATTTTCAGCCTTATCAGTTGGACATTCCGGTTTTTATACTGCTTTTTTTTTAATTCACTAACGCTCTAAAAATGAATATTTCAGCCGCAGTAAAGAATCAACGTTGGCGGATTTTGGTTCTTGACATCCTTTACGATTGGTTACGATGCCTAGAGTACGGAGACCTGTACGATTTCGTCAACTTAGTGAGTTTGATAGGGGCCGTATAGTGGGACTTCGGGAAGCTGGACTTTCTTTTCGGGCAATTGCAGTTAGAGTGCAAAGAAGTGTTTACCGACGAATGAGAAGTTTTGGCTTGTTTTCATACCGGCCACACTGGGTCCTCCCTTTAACTCGAGAACACCGACGTAATCGCCTTGAGTGGTGCAGACAACGGTCACTCTGGAATCAGGAATGGAACAGTATTGTCTTTAGTGAGAGCCTCGATTTTGTTTAGGCATGCACGATGGTCGTGCCAGGGTTAGAAGGCGACGTGGTGAAAGGAGGAATCCACAGTTTTTTGTTGAAAGACATGTTCATCACACTGTTAGAGTTATGGTTTGGGGTACTATAGCTTATGGTTCCAGGTCACCTTTAATCTTCATCAGAGGTAACATGAACGCGCAGCGTTATATCCACGAAGTTCTAGAACCCCATCTTTTACCCTATCTTGACACCCTGGCAGATCCAACTTTCCAACAAGATAATGCCCGACCACATGTTGCAAGAGTCACAATAGACTTCTTTCAACATAATGATGTCACATTGTTACCATGGCCACCAAGATCTCCCGACTTATCCCCAATTGAGCACGTGTGGGATAAGATGGGTAGGAGATTGCTCAATTTGCAACGTCCTCCTCAGACTCTAGAAGCACTTCGAGAGGAGTTGGTGGTTGCCTGGAATGAGATACTACAGGAGGACATTGACCACCTGATCAGAAGGATGCCTAGGCGCGTTGGAGAATGCGTAGCACATCAGGGTGCATCCACACATTATTAAAGGTCAAAGGGCTTTAAAGCAGTGCAATCATTTTGAAATTTTTATCATTTACTTATTATGCTTCATTAAGTACTTATACAAAATTTTATTAAAATAAAACCATTTAAACTGGGTGTTCGGATTTATATGTCACTCAGTATATCTCAACAGACGTCTGTAAAAAATTGATGTCTTCTATGATGAGATGTCGGGCAGTACTGAATGCCAAAAAGAGTTATTGTATTTAATTTGGTAATAAAAAATATGTTTCCATACTTTTGTCGTCTCATTTTTGGTCATAAAATAATATGAAGGTATTTGAATGCTAGTCTGTAGTACCACAACAAAGACAAACTGTCATTTGTATCCTCAAGACTGTAAGAAAACTATGTGAGGAAAAATAGTCCTTGATAATGATGAATAAAAAATTAGCGCACTTTTTAAGGATTACTAAAAATGTAATCAAAAATTTTGTCCGCTACTGTATATAACAAACAGAATACAGAATCATTCATTTTGTATGGGTAAGTCAAAAATTTGTCTTTCTGGTCGAAGGCTAAGATAAGGCAATTAGAGTTGTTCAAATACAAATTGTTATTGATACACCATATTTGTAAAAAATGGAGGTTTTCATAATCTCGTCAGCTACAAACAGATATGTAAAGCTTCAGGTCAACAGCAAACATAAGCTTCTTACATGATAATGAACTGCAATGATCGTTGACGTATAAGGCAAAAAATACGGGACCGAAATTGGAACCCTGAGGCACACCACTACTTGACATATATTTGTAAGAACCAAATGCATTATAGAATACATATTGAGTTCTGTTAGCAGGGCGCATTCAACTAGATGTATCCACTTTATCAAAAAACACGTTGGCGATTGTCGATGCGTGCTTTGCCCCCGGTAGTTGCCTCCAAAAGACACGAGATCGCGTAACCTCAAAAACGTGTTTTGCGCTATTTCAGGCCCTGCCAAAAATACTCGTACAGGATGAGGTCTGGGCCCATAACCTGTTAGCAGGGCACATTCAACTAGATGTATCCACTTTATCAAAAAACATGTTGGCGATTGTCGATGGGTGCTTTGCCTCCAGCAGTTGACTCCAAAAGACACGAGATCGCCTAACCTCAAATAACGTGTTTTGCGCTATTTCAGGCCCTGTCAAAAATACTCGTACAGGATGAGGTCTGGGCCCATAACCTGTTAGCAGGGCGCATTCAACTAGATGTATCCACTTTATCAAAAAACACGTTGGCGATTGTCGATGGGTGCTTTGCCTCCAAAGGACATGGGATCGCCTAACCTGAAAAACGTGTTTTGCGCTATTTCAGGCACTGCCAAAAATACTCGTACAGGATGAGGTCTGGGCCCATAACCTGTTAGCAGGGCGCATTCAACTAGATGTATCCACTTTATCAAAAAACACGTTGGCGATGGTCGATGGGTGCTTTGCCTCCAAAAGACACGAGATCGCCTAACCTCTAAGACGTGTTTTGCGCTATTTCAGGCCCTGCCAAAAAAACTCCTACAGGATGAGGTCTGGGCCCATGACCTGTTAGCAGGGCGCATTCAACTAGATGTATCCACTTTATCAAAAAACAAGTTCTCAAGTCTAGGTTCTGTTGCATCCCATGTATTAAATTGTTTGTATACTCGTAAGTAGATGATGGATAATCATCGCTAAACGGAAGACAATCAAATGGAAGGAGGTTGGGGTGGAAAATAAGAAATCTCTAGCTTATAAAGATACATTTATTCATTTGCAACTGTGTCCACAATTTACGTAGTTATTCTTTTACATCACTAAGAAAAAAGAATATTCAAATGTGTAGTTACTAGGTTTAATACGCTACATTATATGTACAACAAAATTAAGCTATTGTCATACTCTGTATATAAACAGAATTTTGTGCACTTAGTCCTGTTTCACTACAAAATACATAAAAGGGGCTCTACACGAATTACCATTATGCTATGTAACACTTTGTAAGCATTCGGCGTGATGAGAATAACGTGTGAAAAAGGACTGATGCTTATAACAAATAAAATACTAGGTATTTACAAAAAATATTACGGCGAAGATTTACTGAAGAATGACCGCGTCAGAACGTTTTCATAAATACACAGAATATAATTTAAAAAATTCAACTGTATAAAAACATGAGATAAAAATTAACTAAGACATTTTAAACACTAAGGGCGAAACACAACCTTCACAAATAAAAAATACTTAGCAGCCCAATATATATTCATTTAAATGAGACTAGAGTACTGTTATTCAGAGTCTGTGAAACTCCCAAAAAACTTATAGCAAGTCAAAATAAGCAATCATACAGAATATCAAGAACTTCCAAGTTATATGCTTTGAATTTTGTTGATTACTTTTCGGGATCGGAAAAACCGTTTCTTTATAATGGTTCATCCCAAAACGAGCTGGGGAGAAACACCAAAATGTTCAGTCTCCAAAACAATTTTCAGTTTTTTGCGCGTATTTCAAAAAGTAAAACATATAGTAAAAGTTACAAAAAGTTTCTCTGTGATTTTTTTGGGGGTTTCAAAAACGTCATAAAAGAACGTTATTAAAATGTCATATAGAGCCTGCGTCAAAATACATTTTGAAAATTATGTATAGCAGCCCTATTGTTGTCAAAAATTTACGGAAACGTCACCAATTCACAAATACGAGGTCTCAAGAGAAAGCTACTTCATTTCAATCTGTGTGACTATTAAAGAGGTTACACTTGCTCCTACTCATGATCACGAAGTTTAAGGTGATATTATGGCAAAGAAGTATACCCTACAAACATCGTAAATTGAGAAAATAATAGTCGACTCGGTATAAAACTAAAATAAGATGGAAATTACGTTGCACTATATCTCAGAAGCAAGTCGAAATGAACAAATAGCCGTATTAGGCCTTTACATCAATTACACCAACGATTGAGCCAAATCTAGACTTACATCAAACAACTATAGTTGTCCTATATAGTACAACTGTAGTTGTGTATTCAGTATAAAGAGTAGCTTGATTTTTTTCTGTTGTTTCTGTCGTTCTGACATTTTCAAGGAAAATGTGCGATCCAAGGAAATTTGTCATAATTGAACACCACATTTTAGATACGAACGTTCAAGAAGCCCTTGTACATGATTTTTAGTTTACGAACCAGTCTCCCCGTAGAAAGTTATTGGTCCCTGTAAATAATTTTTTGACTAATATCAATTTTGGAAACAACTGAGAATGTAATATTGCTAATCTACTCACATATGATTGTTCATATATACATTTTTTTTTTCTTGAGCATAATTTGAAAGAAATCAAATTGGTTTTCCGAGAGTTGCCTCATTTTTCGTTAAATTAGTAATTGAGATGCAACTTGGTTAAATTTTTATATTTTTGAAACCACAGATTTTCATGAGATCTTGTAAAATAAAGTCACGATGATAGTCGATTTTTTTTTGAAGATTTACAAATTCTGCTTTGATTTATATTATGTACGCATTCATTGAGGTTTCATATAAAAATTGATTAAGAAATAGTCAAATATATGTTTATTATTTTTGTGATAAGAATATTTTTCTAAAAAGAGTCGTTTCTAGAAAAAATCAAACGGAAATATCCAAAATCTTAAAATAACTGAAAATAATATGACACAAGACGAATTGAGGATTCTCCATTATTTTTTTTTTGCATTTCAAAGTAGATTGAGTCCGTTCTTGTTTAAAAAAAATTCAACAACAAAAAAAACGAATATCAAAACGTCGGTTAAAAAATCTACTTCTTTTGCGTCTGCATTTTTCAACCTAAAATTTTGTCATTAAAAATCGTTATATAAAAGCCACAATAACAAGGTTTCGTCTAGCCCTTATCAATATCATATCAGTGCGTAAGAATTGTAATATTTTTTAGATCTGGTCGTTTCTGTTCATCAACCATTCTCGTGACAAATTTTCCAACTATATTTTTATTCATCATTTTTAACATTACAAAAACATTTATTTTCGCTCCAGAAAACGTTTTTTCTTTATCATTCTGATCAATCTTCAATAATTTGCCGTATCATGCTCGTGGTCCTTGAAGCATTAGTAACAGTTAAAACAATGCTTCAAAATAAACCGAGCGAAAAATACTCTTCGAGGTGTTGGAGAGGAGGGTTTGAACTTTGTTTTGACAATTAATTAATCTCCTGTAATTCGAAGGCTAACTTTAGAGGGGGTGACAAAGGACCTTTTTTATTCAGAGTCAAAAAAACGTTAAAAGGCATCCAACAAATGCGATTTTAGAAATAAAATCATGTTGGAAAATTTCCCACAAGAATGCTCGGTTTTCAAATCGTTTATTAGAATAAGTGCAAAATTTCGTATAGGACGCAAAAAACAAGGAGGCCTCAAGAAACGACTGAGATGCTTATTTAAGGTCGCCACTCAACTGCTAAGGGTCGCTTAGATATAGAGCCTTGCCTGCTATACGAAACCGTAAGATCATCCACAAATTCTGCCCTATCCTCTGCGTTACATACTTCTCGCAACCATATCAGTTCCAACACCACGTCTCTTAACCATCCCGTTTGGTCTACGTTACATATTGTACGCGACGTAGATGGGGTCTAACTGGTCAGCTAAGAATCCGTCCCTGAGGTGCATCCGTTGTTTTTCGCCTCTGGAATTGATCGGTACCACCCCTGGGTCCACCACTACTACCACTCCTACGATCAGGTGGTGCTCTTCTAGTACCGTGTTCGTTACTAAGGGGACGAGATCTAACGCTTCGCTCTCGTTGCCGTCGAGCTCTACGACTACCACCAGCAGGTTGGTCCACGTGAATACGGCACTGTGGAAGAAAATATAATGCAATATTGCAACAAGAAAACGTGCTTACTGAACAAATTAATCTGTCAGTCTGGTCATCTAGGACGCTGCTTTTATGGCCCGCTTGATTTTCATAGCTTTCTACTGTTCCGTGTCCGCGTTCTGTTTTGAGGTTATGTTACAAATATCTATTTGCATCAAAGTGTTCATGTTTTTGATTTATATCAGCCTGAAATTTCTCGCCAATCAAAACGAAAACATAGCCTCACAATAGGAGAGCGCTAAAGCTGACACGGAACAGTATAAATCTAGAAATACCGCAGCCTTTCTGAAGGAGAGAAAATACTGCGAAAATCAAGGAGGCCATAAAGACGTAGGAACGGCTAGTTTCCTCTTTTTGATTGTGTTAATGCTATAGCACCACCAACACCAATAAATATCATTAATTAGAAATATATTATACTTAAAAATATAATGTTTACTCACCACTCGGCGATCTTCTTGTGACACCTCAACACACTGTTCTCGATGTCGATTGGATGATACCGCATTCCCCTCAACACGATAGTCTCGTCGAGCGCGCCAACGACGAACACGGCGTCGTGCAGCTCGGGCGGGCCGCCGTCTCCCGCCGCTCCGCTTTGCGTGGCCGGCAGAGCGGCCACGTGATGCGCCGAGCCAATCGACTCCGCGTCGCTGTCACGTGACGGTACGAGGATCGTTTCGTCAGCGGTGAGTGGACCGGCTCCCGTGCCGCGTTCGGGGCCAGAGTCGTCGAGACGGCGCAGGAAGCCTAGGTAGCCGGTGCGCGCGTACACTTCGCCCGTGTTGCCTGGAAGAAGAAGAATTTTGTTAGGTCGTGGGGAAAGTTCTTGCGGTTTCTGTTATTTATGTTTTAAATGATTCATTTTATACTAAAATTGGCTTTATATATGATTTTAAAGCGCGTTTTTCGCTCTATCTAGTCATTGAATTCGTTTTGTTTTACGATTATTGTTATTTTACTTCAAATATAGGATGGAAGTTCGCACGATTTTCTTATTCCAGATGAAAAAAAAAACAATTTCAGCAACAATCTCGCCGACTTAGCAAGTAAATATTTCTCTCCTAATTGCTATTTGTTGCTATTGTTAATAATTGTTTCCAGCTCCAGACGATGAAGACATAGATCTTCGAAAGCTTGAGAGTTTAAGTTATATGAGTGTACTTTTGCAATACTTGGCCTTCTACCGAAAGAAATTAAAGGATATATTCTCAGTTAAGGCAATTAAAAATTCAAAGGAAACGTAGACATCTAGAAATAACCCCAGCCTTCTGAAAGAGAGAAAAGACTATGTAAATCAAGGAGTCCATAAGGGCGTCCTACAATTGTAGGAACGACTTCTATAGTATAAGGAGCTTCCCACATGATCTTTGCTAATTAATCCTAGAAGCACGGGAACTAAGAAACAAGAGATATCGAAAAAACACCTACCTGTGACCAATCTGGCATTGAAATGATCCCCATACTCGCTCTCGTCCCCGTAGATAGTGAAGTACCCGCTAGCATTATGTCCACTCTGCACCCAGATTTCTCCCAAGTGGGAATCCCCACACTGCCCTTTCGTCTCGGGATTTGCGATGATCACTTTTACGCCAGGAAGGAGTTTTCCGCTTTCCATCAGGCACAGACTGTGAGGACTGCCCCGTTCTACAAGACTCACCCGGTCGTTTCTCAGCGCTCGGAGGTCTACGTAGACCGACGAGGGCTCAGGACTTGAGGCCCCCTGAAATGAAACCACACGTAACTAGAATTCTTCTTTAATGTACACGTTTCGATCACAATGATACTTTCGACAATATTTTATCTATCTAAGGAAAGCTATATCAGAATTGAAATCTAATACAAATGCAAGTGAGATTCTCTCGAAAAAGATTCTAAATGATTGTTTCAATATACTCTTAATTGGGGAGAAATCATTATTATTGGTGAATCATTGTTTGGTACATGGTGAATTCGCATCAAAATTAAAGTGTTCCACCATTACTCCTGTGCCAGAAGTTCAATATTACTAGATATATACAAATATACGAACATATCATTGAACTGATTGAAGAAAACAAAATTACTTTCTTTCACTATTTTTCGTTAGGTTTGTTCCACTTTTTTCGTTAGGTTTGTCCCACCTTTTTCCGTTATGTTTGTTTCACCCCTTTTGATTTGGTTCAAATGTACCAGTAGTTCAAATGCCCAATAGTTTTAATAGACAGTTCTAATGCACAGTAGTTCCCATGCACAGTAGATCTAATGCACAGTAGTTCTAATACACAACCGTTCAAATGACGAGAAGCTCAAATGTACCAGTAGGTCAAATGTACCAGTAGTTCAAATGCACAATAGTTCAAATGCACAATAGTTCTAATACACGATGGTTCTAATGCACATTGGTGATAATGCACAGTAGTTCTAATACACAGTAGTTCTAATGCACATTAGTTCTGACACACAGTAGTTCTAATACACAGCAGTTCAAATGACGATAAGCTCAAATGCCCAGTAGCTCAAATGTACCATTAGTTTCTTTAGGTCTGACCCAGTTTTTTCGTTAGCTTTATCCCACTTTTGTTGTTATGTTTGTCCCACTTTTTTTCGTTAGGTATATCCCACTTTCTTGGTTAGGTTTCTTTCACTATTTTTCGTTAGGTTTCTTTCACTATTTCTCGTTAGGTTTGTTCCACTTTTTTTCGTTAGGTTTGTACCACTTTTTTCGTTAGGTTTGTTTCACCCCTTTTGGTTTGGTTCAAATGTACCAGTAGTTCAAATGACCAATAGCTCTAATACACAGTAGTTCTAATGCACATTAGATATAACGCACAGTAGTTCTAATACACAGTAGTTCTGATGAACAGTAGTTCTAATACACAACAGTTCAAATGTCCAGTAGCTCAAATGTACCAGTAGTTCAAATGCCCAATAGTTTTAATACCCAGTAGTTATTATGCACAGTAGTTCTAATACACAGTAGTTCCCATGCACAGTAATTCTAATGCACGTTAGTTCTAATACACAATCATTCAAACGACAAAAAGCTCAAATGTTCAGTACCTCAAATGTACCAGCAGGTCAAATGTACCAGTAGTTCAAATGCCCAATAGTTCAAATGCACAGTGGTTCTAATGCACAGTAGTTCTAGTACACATAAGTTCTAATAAACAGTAGTTCTAATGCACATTGGTTATAATGCACAGTAGTTCTAACACGCAGTAGTTCCAATACACAACAGTTCAAATGACGAGAAGCCCAAATGCCCAGGAGCTCAAATGTACCATTAGTTTCTTTAGGTCTGTCCCACTTTTTTTCGTTAGGTTATCCCACTTTTGTTCGTTATGTTTGTCCCACTTTTTTTCGTTAGGTATATCCCACTTTCTTGGTTAGGTTTCTTTCACTATTTTTCGTTAGGTTTGTTCCACTTTTTCCGTTATGTTTGTCTCACCCCTTTTAGTGTGGTTCAAATGTACCAGTAGTTCAAATGCAAAATAGCCCTGATGCACAGTAGTTCTAATACACAGTAGTTCTGATGAACAGTAGTTCTAATACACAACAGATCAAGAGACGAGAAGCTCAAATGTCCAGTAGCTCAAATGTACCATTAGTTTCTTTAGGTCTGTCCCACTTTTTTTCGTTAGGTTATCCCCCTTTTGTTCGTTATGTTTGTCCCACTTTTTTTCGTTAGGTATATTCCACTTTCTTGGTTAGGTTTCTTTCTCTATTTTTCGTTAGGTTTGTTCCACTTTTTCCGTTATGTATGTCTCACCCCTTTTAGTTTGGTTCAAATGTACCAGTAGTTCAAATGCAAAATAGCCCTGATGCACAGTAGTTCTAATACACAGTAGTTCTGATGAACAGTAGTTCTAATACACAACAGTTCAAATGACGAGAAGCTCAAATGTCCAGTAGCTCAAATGTACCAGTAGTTCAAATGCCCAATAGCTCTAATACACTAGTTCTAATGCACAATAGTTCTAATGAACATTAGTTCTAACGCACAGTAGTTCTAACGCACATTAGTTCTAATGCACAGTAGTTCTGTCGCACAGTAGTTCTAATGAACAGTAGTTCTAATGCACATTATTACTAATGCACATTTTTTCTAATGCACAGTAGTTCTAATACACAGTAGTTCTAATACACAGTAGTTCTAATACACAGTAGTTCTAATACACAACAGTTCAAATGACGAGAAGCTCAAATGCCCAGTAGCTCAAATGTACCAGTAGCTTCTTTAGATCTGTCCCACTTTTTTTCGTTAGGTTTATCCCACTTTTGTTCGTTGTTTGTCCTACTTTTTTTTCGTTAGGTATATCCCACTTTCTTGGTTAGGTTTATCCTATTTTTTTTTCGTTTTGTCGAGTTATTTCGTATTACTCGCACATCATACATGGAACTTTTATCATTTAATGTTCTCGTTGTTACCACGATCAGAAGCTTCTTACTGGTAGGACGTCTTTGACTAATAATAAATAATTACAACACCCATCCGATCATAATTTTTCACGAAAAAAAAAATCGACCCGGAAAAGTTTTGAAACGAATGTTAGGTTCTTACCTGTAAACATATAGCAACGTTGACCCTGCATCCGAACGACGTCGACACCGCTCTAGGACTGAGCCCTATCGCGCTGAACAACTTCGAGAAACTCGTGGTGAGGTTGATTCTTGGCCTTTCCTCTGCCACAACGACACAAGTCCTGACGCAAGCCAGGTTGATACCGCGTGATTTCAGCTGGTTGACAGAAGAACCCAGGCCCTTGGTGCACAGTTCCATCACCCCGTACGAGCAGAACGTGTCACGGACTTTGTATTGGCTCACGGCGCTCAGCCAAAGACCCGGGTTGACTTCGACCTCTGAAGGGGGTATTAATATCGAGTGGTGGCCTGAGTATATGCTGCTTAAACACCTGGAATCAGAAAAGTGCGATTATGGGATCAAACACACATGTCAAAAATATTTTTGATGTAAAGTTTTTAGTTATTAAAAATGCTATATATCTAATTTTAGAATGTTGCAGTAATTTCTCGCCCAGTGACGTAGGAAAATATTTTTTACTCACCATAAAGCAAACCCAAGTCCGCAGTACGGATCCAAGCACAGCGCTATGTGCCTGCTAGGGTATAATTCACAGGCTAGCTTCATACTTTTACAAAGATTCGTCACAGCTGCATGAGACATTTTGATGCCAGCTAACATGCCGGTGGTAGAAACGCTGAAGTCTAGGTAGGCCAACATCTCTGCCGTCGGTGCCCTGCAACACAATTCTCGTTTGTATCCAGAGGAATATTAAAAATATGCCAGTGGATTTCTAAAAATCGCAATCTGACAGAAACCGTAATTGTCGTACTGTTGATTAACTTATTCAGTATCTTCACCATCAATATTTAGTTTGTACACTGTTTTTTCCAATTAACATAAGTTTCGTTTTACTTTTTAGTATTTAATTCAAGTTTGTCAGATGCTAACCATTTTAAAACAAGTTCCAAATCTTCATTTATATAAAAGATACCAGATTGAACCCAGTGAACACTACTGACGTACGCAGACCAAGAAACATTGGAAAGGTACTAGATTCCATGAGAAGTCAGCCTTGTCAATTACGGGAGAGTAACTAATCTTAGCGGCAAATAAAAGTCGTTTATTATTATTATTATAAAAAATTGAACTTCAGTTGTACAACTACAATACCAGGACGGTGAAAGTACGAGGTGGCTTAGAACCAATGATCCTCAATAGGCAGTAGCTACCATACTAACAGAACAGTTTATAAACAAATCTTACGTGAAAATCTATCAACTACAATACTTTATTTTCATACATATTCAACGAGTATCACTCATTATTAACATACTGAAATTAATCGTTGCAAATAATTATAAATCGCTATCTATTATTATTCATTCATTTTCATTTCGTCGACTATAAACTGTTGATATTTACACCGTTAGATTGTTGCTTTTTAATGAGTTAAAAATTTCCGTAATGATAGGGATGGAGCATTGTCGCAATTTTGATAAACGCGTTTGATCGAAAATCTCGAAAATCATCCTTCTTATGTAAAAAAGTAATAGGATCAATTATGTAGGGAATTAAATTATTCATCATTTTACTTCTATAAAAAATTGTCGTATAGTCAATAGCTTACGAGAAATTTAAGGGTAAACGTACATTTTATAATGACTAAGCTATGAATCTAAGAATATAAACCTTTAATATCTTTTTTGTAGAGAATACAATATGCTACAAAAAGGCTTTTAGTTTTTCCGAGATGTTGATGAATATCGAAGTATAAGGAGACCAAGTTAAAAATTCATATCAACATAGTCGCGCGGTATACTCCGTATTGACAACAAAACTAGTAAAAAGTATAAAAGCAACGTAAAAAAAATTTTTGATTACAAAATATCGATGGCATCAAATGCCGTCTTCAAATTCAAAAATACTGCGATGACAACTTCTTCTGAGTCTATAGCTCTTCTCAAACTCTCAGTAACCAACTGGAAGGCTATTTTTGTGCAATATTTTTTGCGAAAGCCTGCTTGTATTTCCACTGAAATTTTGTTTTAATCTATAAACTGCCTGAAAGACGGGATCTTTTTTTGAAAGGCTGATGTCATGCTTAATAATAAACAATTTTCTTTTAAAGTGAAATGGAGACTGTTTTTATTACTTCTAAGGGAATCACTACGATTCTACTTGAAATCATAGTTGCAACGAAGGATATTGTATACGAACGTCAAAACCCAGCATAAGGTTGGATATCTTGGATAGTAAGTTAATCAATAGTTTATCAAAATGAATTTAAACTAACCTGTATGCCATGGGCAGTTTTTTCTTGGGCATGTCGTCAGTGTCCAATATGAGTGGCCATGATTTAATATCAACTACATTACTAGCCTCTTTAGAACGAAGAAGCTTGATCACAGCCTGCGTTGAAAGCACCAGTACGGATTTCGAAACATCCACTATCATCCTATAAATAAATGTTGAGCATTAATATACTATCTATCAATCTTACACCAGAAAATGTTCGCACAGGCTTCTACAGGTCAAGCTGGTGGTGTCCCAACATTTCACGATTGATAGTATATCGCTCTCAATATTTGTATTGTGGTATATGGTCAGCGAAACCTACGAATTTAAATTTATGGTTAAGTTTATTAAATCATTGATATAGACTAAGAATAGGCTCGGACCTAATGCTGATCCTTGAGGTACCCCTGCGTTTACACCTTGTAATTCTCCAAGGTGGCTCAACCCTATAACTTTTATATTATTGAAAATAGAAAAACTAAATTTGGGGGTCGCAGTATAGATGAATTTAAATTTTTTGACATATTCATTTGCTTTGACGTACTTTTAGAAAATTCTTAAAATGACTCAAATTCGCATTTTTCCCGCGTTACTTGATCAAAAATGAAGCGATTTTCAGGATCCATGGCATTCTAGATCGAAAAATAAAAATTGAAACAAAAATGCTCTACTTGTCAAATATTGACAAGTGAGGCGTTGTCATTCTCGATCGAAATATGTAAAAATATGGAGAATAAATTACTAGAATATAAGAAATTATTCCTAAGCCATCTCAACCCAATAAAATTGAAATTAAATTTCGACTAATAATAATATAGATAAAACAGATATTACTATCAATGAAGTAAATCGATTTGAACGTATATCTTTTGATACTAAGTCCGTCGGTAGTTTTTTGAAAAACATAGCTATGGTAATAATACGTTTTCCTAATCGAACCTCATAAATCCAGTTTTTTGTTCGTTTACTATGTGGTCTCATCTACTTTCGTCTAAAAAACAATTTCAGCTTCAATTGCTTATAGCTGCTGTTTCCAAAATTTTGTTTTTAGCTCATGATGATGATGCCGTAGACCATCGAAAGCTCGAGTTTTAAGTTAAAAGAGTGTACTTTGCAAAACTTTTACCGACTTCCCAAAGAAATATCGATGATACTTCCTCCTAACGAGTTAAAAGGCTGTATCTCCTGATATACATATTCTTTTCTATACATATAAAATAACTATACTACTATAACTATTCTACGTAAATATGTCAAAAAATGTAAATTCATCTATAATACGCAACCCCAAAATTTCGATTTTCTATCTTCAATAATAAAAAAGCTATAGGGGTGAGCCAACTTGGAGATTCACCCGGTATTTATTTGAAATATAATGTCTTGCTAATTTTACAATTTACACAGTCAAAAGCATTGCAAAAGTCGCGAAAAAGCTATTCAAATCTGTTTATCGAGTATAACTGTTGGAGTAATACAAAAGCATCCATGGTATTATTTTGTTTTTGAAATGCAAATTACTCACCTAACAGTCGGCAGCGTGGTTTGCAAATTTTGCGGATGCGGAGGCCTGATAGTGACGGGCACCACGCCTACATACAAACATCCGTAAAAAGCGCACACCAGATCCAATCCGGGAGGGAAGATCAGCGCCACGTGATCACCGGTATTAACTCTGCCTTTTTCCACTAGAAGGCTGCCGATGCGTTCAGCCCTTTTGTGCAGCTCCGAGCAGGTTAGAGCCTTGGCCACCGCGCCCTTGCTGTTCAGAAGCGTGAAGAGGACGTGGTCCGAGGTACCTTGGGCGCGCCAGCGGAGGATTTCGGCGATGAACTGTTGCTGAAAACGAACGGGTTATAATAGTTTCCGACTTCAACGTGAGATGGCAGCACTTGTAAATAAAAGCTAGTGGATTTCGTTGTTCATCTGTTGACAGTTATTCATCAAAGTTTCAGCCTTTTTACTGTAGATGAAACTTGGATACACCATTATATGCAAAAGGTTCAAAAAAAAAATACATCACATCAGATCCAAACATTGAAGGCTGAAGCATCACGGCGTTTAGGCAACACGTATCGCCTCGTAAGGAGTGCTCACCAAGCGAACAACAGCTTGATATCTTGTAGAAAAACCAACATAATGTCACAAATATGTACTTCTTACCTTTTTGGACGAGTCTCCATCACCGGCTCCTTCTTCCATCAATCCGCCTATTTCCCGGCCTTGAGCGCTGGCCAACCGATTGCCTTGCACCAAATTTCCTACGATGACAGACGCCGGGCCCACGTCTGAAACACAGTCGCTTGCTGAAACACGCACAAGGAACGCACAGGTTATGTTGTAGCATCGCAAGAAGCCAAAAGCAGAATGTTATTATTACAAACATCAAATATTCAATCGACAGATTTTGTTATTTATTTGTGCCATACGATTCGAAGCGTGTGGAATTGTAGGTGCGCCATTTTTTAGTTAACGACAGTGAAGTCGACCCGCAGGGTTATTACGTAAGATGCAGCATTGGCAAACTTATTTTTGGGATAACCCTCGTAACTATACCCTATTCCACGAGTATTGATCACGGCAGAATGACAGCTGCTTAGCTAGTAATATCTAGAAATTCCCCATATCGGCACAGGACACATAATTCTGACGGATCCGTCAACGCCAGGTAGACAGAGCCGAATTTTGTTTTGGTTGTTTGTACGCTACAGATTCATTTTGTACTTGCCAACAGCTCCTTTATTTAGAAAAGTTAATTTGCATACAAAAAACAAAACGCCATAAACAAGTTTTACTAGATTTATACCCGACCCATTATTGTCAACGTTGCAGACTAACGTAAAAATGTCACTTGCTGATCAGCTGTTCACCTCGGTAGATGTCAAAGAGTGATAGATACTCGTGAAATAGGGTAGTTACTAATTGACGTCTTGTTGGAAAACTTACATAACGTCATAAAAATCCGACACAATGTCAAAAAACGACATAATGCCACTTTTCGTGTTACGTAAAACCCCTGCCGTACAATGACCGATTGGAATGCTAATATCACACACATATACAGTGTTTTTCAGAATGGGTCACGCTAAAAAGCTGAAATTTGCAAAGAGGAAATTGAAGCAGAAATACTATATTTTATCATAAAAATAACAGTTGAAAATTTCAACATGGCGGCTGGATGCCATCTTGTGATATCTTTTAAATTGACTGAGGGAACGTTTGATACCTTTTCGAAAATTATTATCAAGATATAGTAATTATGCATGGATTTTATAACCGAAATTTCATCTTGCTAACTTGACTCTGTCAAAATGTCAAAAAACAAGTCGGAGGGTGAAGGAGGGGGTGAGAATAAGTACTGTATATGGAGGAAAATATAACTGGCAGCCTCTGATAGAAGCAAGCGAGGTTACAAAAATTAAACTCCACATCTACACTACGTCATCCCGTGACTAGTTGAGTATTTGACAGTCTAAATACTGGTACTGAACACGTGAGTATTTGTGATTTGTGGAAATTGTAGTGACAGTTATTTTCCTCCATATATATGAGCATGCTGTCGCTCCAAGAAGCCATTGTACAGGCCTAATAATATGTGCGATGTGACCAATATACATAATTTTATAATATGTACAGTATGCTATCAAATATGTACAGTGATTCTTATAGAAATTCTCCAGATATGTAGTAGCAAGAATTCTCGACCAGAAATACGAGTATATATATATACAGGGTGTCCCAGAAGTCGACGTCAAGCCGAAACCGGGTGATAGGCAAAGTCATAACAGCTATCAGAAAAATATTTAAAAAAATTTTATGTATGTGTTTTGAAAATTATAGGTCTTTGAAAAAGATATAAAAATTTCACACCCTACGGCAGTCTGTCAACTCCTGTTACTACAAATATTAACTTTTTTGGATTTTATTTTTACAATGATAAATAATGCATGGTGTCTCAACCTTACTGCCAACTTTTCTCGTTCAGGAAAAATTGCCACTTATTTCCCAACCAAGTATTCCAAAGTAAAACTTTGCTCAACTTTAACTCGCTGTACTGGAAAAAAATGTACTTCGAGAGTTTGGCAAGTAACCTTAAAAGTTGGCGCATTTAATAACGATTCCAAAATGGTATAACCCTTCGAAGATTATTCGTTAACTTATGCACAATTTTTATTTGAAAAAAAACTGATGAAAATTTTTCAAAATTTCCTAATTAAACAGAGATTATGAAAACGCACAAGGACCCTTAAGGATAACTGTTTGCACAACAGTGGGCGTCAAAATGCTGCTGATGATGATTTACCTTTACAGCAAATGCTCAAACTGTTTTCCTTCAGCCGCAATACACGCTCGACATCTTTTTAAAAAAGATCGGGTTATTAAACGAGCGAATCCACGGTTATCAACAAACTCAGCTGCTTCCAATAGTCTTTGCCGTAGCTCAGCTACATTTTGAATCGGCTTGAAATACACTTTTTCTTTTACAGTTCCCCAGTAAAAAAATCTAAAGGTTTCAAATCAGGTGATCGGGCTGGCCACGGTATTGTACCAGACCGCCTTATCCATCTGCCTGGAAAGTTTTGATCGAGATACTCTCTCACTGAAAGTGCATAGTGCGCTGGGCAGCCACATGTCCCTGTAAATACTCAGTGGCACGTCCACCAATAAATTTTGTACATGATTTTTCAAAAATCCAAATAAACTTCAGCAGTCAAAGTCTCTGGGAACTCAAACAGACCGATTATTTTACCATTTAAAATTCCTGTTCAATGGTTTATCTTGAAGCGATATTGAGATTTATCTTCTCTCATAAAATGTGGGTTTGCTACGTGCCACTCGTGTAAGTTATGCAGGTTCATGTACCCATCTTTCTTAAATGTGGTCTCATCCGACCATAAATTTTTTTCAAAGAACTGTGGATCTTTCCTATGTCTTTCTAACATTGTGCGACAAAAAGCAACTCGGGGCTCATAATCCCGGGGCAGGATAGGTTGAACACGCTGTATGTGGTATGGATGACTAGCACTAAATTGACATCAAATTCGGAATCTAAGCACCTAGACTCGTGTACGGAAAGTCATGCTATTTGTTATTCATGTAAAAAAAATCAAGTCGTTACCTTTTTGGCACCCCAGAGAAGTCATTTTTTTCGATTCCAGAATGATATTTTCAATACATCATGTTTATCGGAACTCTACCGATAGTTTTACACCCTGTATTATGACACAATCCCATGGAAAATATATTTCCAGAGCTCGTAATACATCCCAAAATGCAACAAATCAATAATCCGATAAGAACAGATTTGTTAGCACATTTATAAAAAATCATACGTCAGAAGAAAATCATGAGAAATGGCTTAAAATTAAAATTATCAATATTTTCAGCTCGATATATACATTTTAAAATATGTCATGGAATTGTGATGCATGCAATTTTTTGTAATGTGTTACAAAATGATATAAAAGTGAAAAAAGCAGATTTTTAGTGATGATTTTCGTCTCAAACAATATCAAATCAAGTGTGTTTATTAGTATAAATTACACATGTATTAAGTTAGAAGATGTGCATATTCATCTAGAAACTCACCATACATCATACAATTTATTTACTAAAATTGATCAATTTATTTTTCAGCATATCATTGACTAAAATGCTTGGACTATAACAATACAGCATGCTGGCTGCACCGCACTGATTCCGTCTAGCGTACATTTTTATTAATGCTTCTTCTCTCTCTCAATCCGTACAAAAGTGAGTACTGTTGCGTTTTGTAGAACTTCAAATTTCGCTGTTTTTTCACTTGAAACTTAAAGAGTTTAGTCCGATAGATTAATTTTAAATGAAAAAAAGTGTGGATGAAGCACGCTTGTCTAGAACATTTTATTCTCAAAACACTGTATTTTTAGCAGGTATTTTCACCATTATTTCCAATGCCATCTGCCATATGACGTTGACGTGTGTGCATATGTCATGTACGAGAGGCGCTTGCCTGCGGTGTTGCCGGATCCGCATTTATGGAAAAATATGAAAAGTGGAAAATTTATAATATATATTAATTATTGAAACACAAAAATGAAAAACTGAAACAAACAACAGTAGCAAAATAAAGAGCGATTCTTAATAGGTATAAAACAAAAAATAACGATAGTAAGCTAAAAAACAATAAATTGTCAATACTTATAAAGAATAAAAACAGTAGTAAAACAAAAAAAAAATTATAAAAAACAAATAACAAACAGTAAAATAAAAAGCAATTTTTTTATAATTACTTGGGATTGTTTTTCATTTTACTACTGTTTTTACTTTTTGTTATCACTTAGAATAGCTATTCATTTTACTGTTACTTATTTGTTGTTTTTTATAATTATTTATAATTTATTGTGTTTCAGCTTACTATTGTTATTTTTTGTTTTATACAAATAAGAACCGTTTTTTATTTTGCTATTGTTGTTTGTTGTATATAGGTTTTCCACTTTTCATTTTCCCTAAATGCGGAGCCAATCCGGCAACACCGCAGGCAAGCGTCTCTCATATATGACATACGCACTGTCGTCTACGTCGTCATATGGCAGATAGCGGGTAAATAATGGTACAAATAACTGCTAAAAATATGTGATTTTGGAAAAAAATGCATGACACGCGTGCTCCACCCACACTTTTTTTTATTTAAGATAATCTATCAGACAACCCTCTAGAAGTTTCAAGTGAAAAAACGGTGAAATCAGAAGTTGTGCAAGACGCAACAATACCCAAAAGTGTCTATTCAATTAGATCATCAAAATATTTCATACAATTCATTTCCTGAAATATCATTTCAATATTATTTTCCAGCTAATCGTTGCCTAAGATGCCCGGACTATAACAATCAAGAACGACGCGACGCGCTGGCTGCACCGATTCAGCGATCACAATTTCCGAGTACTGGATCTCAGTTGGCTGTGGCCGAATCTGACATTCGCATTCGTCCAATTGTTTTTGTGCGGGTCAGTCCATTTTCAATTTTCGCGTCGGTGCGTGTTTTGCTCGAATTTTGAAACGATTTTGGGTATTTCTAAGCAATTCATAAGCGATTTTACGTTGTATCGAATTAGATAGTCTGCGGAAACGCGTATCGGTTTTGGATTGATGCACGATCGCGTTGAAAACATTCGAAATCGTCGTGTGCGTGTTTATGAACTGACGCTGAACGTTGTGTGAGCAGTTACAGAAGATCCTGCAGATTCATGTGGAAAAAGGTGTATCGGTGGGTGAGTTTTATTGATATTATGCTTGTGCATGTGTATTTTTGTAATTTATATTTTCCTCAGATGTTCAGGTTTTGTGGAAATGGACAATGCTAGAATCGACCATTGAATAGATTATTTCAAGTGTATAGTGCAGGATATCTGAAATTGTAGATTCAAAAATAGTTATAGGGAATAAAAGTATGTATCTTCAAAACGTGACCGTGATATCGTCAATTAGTTTAAGAGAACATCGTCGATTTGCAATGTTATTTTTTACCGAAAAGTGCCTGCATCGATTAACGTATTCTACTTGAAGATAGCCAACTTAATACTATATTCCCGCATCCAAAACATTTTCCTAAATGAAATTAGATACCGTAGCGACATCTATGATAAAATTTGTCACAGCTATGTTTCTTCTCTTCATAGTAATTAGGAATCCAGCTTGAAAATGCTAGTGTCCCATAGATGGCGCTGTAGCCAATTAAGTCTGCATATAGTATACAGGGTGTACAAGATAAGGAGGAAGTTGTCTTTGGGGCATATTTACATGCTGTTGAGAAACTAGTAAAAATTTCATCGCTTATTGAGGGTACTGTTGCGTCTTGTAGAACTTCGGATTTCACTGCTTTTCCACTTGAGACTTCTAGAGGGTAGTCTGATAGATTATTTTAAATAAAAAAAAGTGTGGATGAAGCACGCTTTTCATGCATTTTTTCCCAAAAGACGTATTTTTAGCAGCCATTATTTACACCGCCATCTGCCATATGACGACTTTGACGTCTGTGCATATAATGTCATATATGACAGCCGCTTGCCTGCGGTGTTGCTGGATTGGGCTCCGCATTTAGGGAAAATGAAAAGTGGAAAATCTATATATGTGGGTATATTTATATTAATCAATGAAACACAAAAAAGGAAAAACTGAAACAAACAACAATAGCAAAATAAAAACCGGTTCTTAATAAGTATAAAACAAAAAATAGCAGTAGTAAGCTAACACACAATAAATTGTAAATAATCATAAAAAACAAAAAATAAAAACAGTGGTAGAGAAAAAAAAACAATACCATGTAATTATAAAAAACAAAAAATAGAAAGCTATTCGGAGTGATAACAAAAACAAAGTAAAAACAGTAGTATCGTCATATAGCAGATGGCGGTGGAAATAATGGTGAAAATAACTGCTTAAAATACAGTGTTTTGAGAAAAGCGTGCTTCATCCACACTTTTTTCATTTAAAATCTATCGGACTACCCCATTTAAGTTTCAAGTGAAAATACAGCGAAATTCGAAGTTCTACAAGACCCTTATCGAGATATTTGGGAAAAACTAAAATTTGGCCAAATCGTTTTTATTTTTTTCTGACTTTGTCTCAAGAAATATCAGAAAACTAATGAGACTTTTTCATTGCGTTTTTTGTAGTTTTTCTTTTTTTAAGTAGGCGATGCAAAAAAATGCTCGATTTGACGAAAATACCTGTCACCGAGTATTGTTATTATTGTGTATTGTTAATATTGCTTTAATATCGTCAAAGATGCAAGGCGATCATTTTAGCAATGAAGAAAAGTTCCACATGCTGATGTGCTACATTTTGCGATACAAAAATACTAAAAATACTGCAGAAATATATGTTAGGAGTTCTACTGTTAGAAGATCATAAATATGTTTAGAAAATGCTGACAACCTATTCGAACACCTATGTGAATAAAATGAAAATATTTTTTTTGTTTGCAATGCCTACTTAAATAAAACGAAATAATAAAAAACACATTTTTCTTTATAACTAAGGATACAAATTTAACATCGGTGAATTCGTAGAAAAGGATGCTATCAGATACAGGATGTACTTTTTTCGTATCATATAAAAAATAAAGATGGTTTCTTAAAAACGAAAGGTCTCGCACAAAATTCTATCAACATAAAAATATAATATATATATATATATATATATATATATATATATATTTTTCCCCCTCCAACTTCGTTTCCTCAGGTTACACCCGTATCCGGATGTGTGGGCATGTGTATCTACTTTTGTAGTTTTATATGTGCATTCATTTCGGGCTTGATGAAGCCAACCAGCAGAAATACGTATCGCTCGGGTTACCTATCCTATTTTCTGCTCGAATCCACGTTCCTCCTTTTTGCGGATTTTGCCCATTATTTTCCTACTTTTCCTACTTGTTGTTATATATATATATATATATATATATAATAATTCTAAAAAAATTAAAAAAAATGTGGCTTACCAGAATGCACCTCTCGGGGTTTGGGCAAGTTCGTCACACACGTATGGGGGCACATAAGCACGTTGGCGGGATGCAAGGTGCCTTCCAGGAAGCGTCGTTTCGTTTCTGACAGATGAATGCCCCCTAAGGGGGTCTTCGGCAGGTAGTTAGGGGGCACCAGCGCCAGACAATAGATGCCCACTTGGTGGATGCTGTCGACGGCTTGCAACACGCGCGACATCCATTGGAATGACTGGAAATAAAAGTATTGTATTTGTACTAAAACTCTTGTTACACATGCAAAAGTCTTCATTAAGATATGTAAAAGCAAATTATTTAAATTAAGTTACTGATGCATTGAAATGTTGGTTAGAAAATGTTAATTGTCAAAGTGACTATTGCATCATTCATTTCTCCTAAACCAATCTGCTTCACCCTAATGCAAAACGAATGACGTGTACTTTATATTACTACCACGCGAGCGTAGCTGGAGAATATACTAGTAACTATATTCTTTATGCCTCGATTTCCGTTGTTATGTCGATAAATACGAGTTTAATCTAGGGAATGGTTTAGAACCTATCGTTAGGCAAATAGAATGATTTTTTATATATCCGATGGATCTGAAACCTTACCTCTTCTTCACTACAATCAGGCCTTTGCTCGGCAATCACGCATATCCTTTCGTCCCTGAGTACTTTTATACAAAACACTGCTATCCTTCCTCTATAAATGAACTTCATCGGCTCCACCGCTAACACTGTTGCGATGATGTCATCCGCGTTGTGCTTCCTTCCGGTTACCGTCATCAGTCCGTCCCTGGAACCGCATACGAACACCAAGCCTCCAGGTCCTGAAACGATTGCACAGGTTGAGGACAACGTCAATTCAGGCTCAAATGGAAACATGGGGGTTAAGAAAGGTCAAGGTCAATTAAGTGTCAAATGTGAAAGCTTAAAAAGGTCAATTCATGGTCAAATGGAAACATATGGGACGTTAAGTTCTACTTAGGCTCAAATGGAAACTAAGGTGTTAAGAAAGGTCAAGGTCAATTGAGAGTCAAATGGAAACGTATGGAGGTAAATAATAGTCAAGGTCAATAAAGGGTAAAATGAAGGCATATGGGATTTTAAGAAAGGTCGAGGTCAAATTAGGCTCAAATGGAAACATGGGAGGTTAAGAAAGGTCAATGTCAAATTAGGCTCAAATGGAAACATGGGAGGTTAAGAAAGGTCAAGGTCAATTCAGGCTTAAATGGAAACATATTGGAGGTTAAGAAAAGTCAAGGTCAATTCAGGCTCATATCGAGGTTAAGTATGGTCAAGGTCAATAAAGGTCAAATCGAAGCATACGGGAGATAAAAAGTCAAGGACAATTCAAACTTAAATGGAAACATGGGAGGTTGAGATAGGTCAATCTAGGGTCAAATGGAAACAACATAAGGAGCTTGAGAATACTCAGGATTAATTAAGGGTCAAATGGAAGCATATGGGACCTTAAGAAAGGTCAAGGTCAATTCAGGGTCAAATGGTAACATAAGGGAGATTAAGGCCAAGGTCAATTAAGGGTGAAATGGAAATTTTACTAAAGAAACTTTATATGGCAAGATTTGTGGTCTAAACATTTAAATGCGGTTCAAATGATATTTTCTGTTTATACATACCTAGAAATCCTAAGAGGCCAGACCTCGTATATTCGGCGTCTGAGATAGGTTTGCCGTCCGAACCTAAAGGTTGAACGTGGAAGGTGGTGTTACTTAGGCCCTGCAGGCCCCAATATTGGGTGCCTGTCGCCCCTGAATTTACACAGATCTCGCCCACTTCGTCCGTTTTGCACAGGTACGCTGGGCCTTCCATTTTTACAACTACTATCACACATCCTGTAAAATAAAATATAGTATAAATTGAAAACATTAAACTTAAAATACAATTTTCCATTTTTATAACTTTGATTTTTAATAGAATAGAACCCTTAATACTACAAAAAACAGTAGCTGAAAGTATGTCCTAATCAGACATATGGGTTCTAAAACGCCCCTTAGAAAAACACAGTGTAGAGTGAATAAATCTATCGAATTGAAAAGGGCAATGGATTTCAGTTACTTTTAGCGTCGTTTTATGTTCCCTTGATCAGTGAGCTATTCTTATTTCCTTCATTGATGCAGTCAAAAACTTAAATTATATACAAAATATATCGCGCTACGCACCAAAGTTTCTGTGATTTTTTATCTTGCTTTTCTGCTTACCTGGCATAACTTGTCCGCAATCTTGCAACGTAAGTGACGTGAGGCTGTTCTCTTGGTCCACTCTTACTACTCCATAACTGAGACCTTGCATCGACAGTACGCCCCTGCCTGTCGCGTTTACACCACCCCTACCCGGTCTTCGAACAGATACCGTCATTACTTCACTACTACTGGCACATGGGCATATCGCGTCTGCCCGGAGACCTGTCAAAAATATTAATTGTATATTTCATCTGATTACATCTCTATTCGAACAAATGTCTTTTTCAACTTTAACTTGTAATAAAGGAGTTACGAGCCTGATGACCCTGAGTAAACTCACCCTTAGACTGGAATACTGATAAGAATTGATCACAGGAGGACAACGACCACGGATTCGCTCCGTCCGCCACCAAAAGCATCCTGAGCGAGCCCAAGTTGACGTCCTTGTGGTCCTTCGTGGCTAATAGGCCCCAGTGCAGGTCCCTGGATTTGACGACGGCCACGCATGCGCGATGCTTTGTGATCATTTGCATCCAGCTGGCCGGGTTCACTTTCATTAGAGCGTAAGGAATGTAGATGACGTGCATGCCGTTCAGCACGCTGGTGAGGACAGAGTGCCACAGGCCCACCTGGAAATAATCAGTCATACAATAAGTGAGAGAATTAGGAGAAATTATCAATAGAGAAAATCCAGAAATAAATCTAATAACAGTATAATCAAATTAGTCAGAAAGATATGATTGAAATTTTTATTGATGTTGATGGCTACTATGCCATAGTGTTGAAGTTTGCATGAAAGAAGCTACAGTCGAGATAACAATTTAAAAAAGAAAAAACCACATAAACACTCACACACAGACACTCAAGGATTCTAAATTAAAGCTAGACTATACTTGTAAAACGTTTGTAATTACTGGTAGTGAAAATGATTGGCTATGAACAGATCATCGAACTCATCCAAGGAAATAGAATTTTAATCAAATTTCAAGCTGGACTTAGGAAGAAACACTCAACTGAAACGATAATACAAATAGTTATAGAGGACTAGAGGAGATGTATGGACAATGGGAACCAAACAGTGACAGTGTTTTTGTACGGAGTTTGAAACTAATGACCGGAATAAATTAATTACAAAATGCATCACTATAATAATAATAATAATAATAATATTTATTCACTCAATGTACAAAGATAACAAACAATATGAGTAAATAAATATAAAATCAAAACAGGCCCAATAGAAGGCATCGCCTGTACAGGGACCAATAATTTAAGTTGAAACTGTAGAATGCAAATGACAAAAAAGGACAAAAATCAGCTACAGTAGATTATGTATTTAGTTGATGTTCGTATTTATGAGTTTATGAATTTCAGTCCTAGATATAGAATGTAGCCACTTTTTTAAATTTCTTTTGAAACAATTTCCGAAACGTAAATCTTTTAAGTCTTTAGGTATAATTTCATATAATTCAGGCGCTAAATAGAGATATGATCGCTGCATTATAGATTTATGCGGTTGAGGAACTACTGTGCCACGAATTTTGTACCTGGTATAATGATTGTTTAATTTTTTGGTCGGTGTTTACAAATTTATGGTAGTGAGTGATACTGTGTAAGAAATAAAGCTGTCTTATATCATACATTCGAACATCTGCGTATAATTTTTCAGTGGAATAAAGTTTCGGTTTTTTAAATATCATTTTTAGAATACTTTTTTGAAAAACATCTAAATTATAGATATCTGAGGAACATGCAGCTCCCCATGCTAATATACCATATGTGAGATGAGGCTCAATCAGTGCATGGTATGTTCGAAGATATTTTTCTGTCAATATATTCCCAAGGTATTTAATTTTGTAGGATACAAATCTAACTTTCTTTAAATTATAGTTGACATGGATGTCCCATCGTAAGTGACGATCTAAGACCACTCCAAGGTATTTTATGTTGGGCACTCTATTAATTTGCATTTTTTGATCATTAATATTGAAGGAGAAATTTGTGTAATTTGGCAGATGTCTAGCATAAGATCCAAATGGTAAAAAATGTGTTTTAGAGTAGTTAATGCTTAATTTTCTACTGTTAAACCACCGAATAATTTTGATAAAATCATTTTCAATTACATTTTTCAGATCAGACCAGTCAGTGCCTTCATATAATATTGCAGTATCATCTGCAAAACTAGTTATTTTGCCAACACAATTAATTTGGAAAATTTCATTTGAATATATATTGAATAACAGCGGACCTAAGACAGTTCCTTGTGGGACACCACACTTAATATACATTTCTTTACTAAATGATCCTGATATCTGCACAGATTGTGGGCGATTTGACAAATAACTTTCGATCAGTGAGTACGCGTTTCCTCTGAAACCAATTCTCTCCAATGCTTCTAATAATAATTTGTGATTAACTGTGTCGAAAGCTTTCTTTAAATCAACAAAAATGCAGATTGAAGGGATTCTGTTATCAATATTTTGATGTATTTGATTTACAATTTTAGTTATTGCGTCCGATGTAGCCTTCCCTTCTGTAAATCCATATTGATTTTCACTTAAAATTTTGAATTTTGTGAGGTATCGCATCATTTTAGTAGATAAAACTTTTTCAAAAACCTTTGCTACACTGGATATTATTGATATTGGTCTATAGTTGTTAACATCTGTTTTTGTTCCTGATTTATGTATCGGTATTATATTACCTTTTTTTAAAATTGAGGGATATATGCCAGATTCAAAGCATTTGTTGATTAGGTAAGTGAGTGGTTCTGTTATGTCCTCGGCTATAATTTTCAAATGCTCGCTTTTAATACCATCGAACCCAGGACTTTTCCGATTTTTCAAGGACATAACAGTGGTGTATACTTCACATTGCTCGACTTTTTCCAAAATAAATGAGTTCAAAGTTCTTTTTGGAGGCTGAGTATTTTGTACATTTGCTTGTATATTACTTGCTAAATTTTCTCCTATGTCAGTAAAGAATTGTACAAATTCATCGCATATCTGTTGAGTATTTTTTAATACTGTTCCCGTTGTTGTATTTAACTCAGTGACACACTCTTTAAATTTTGTTTTCCCAGTAATCTCATCAATAGTTGTCCAAAGCCGCTTAGGATCATTTAAGTAATTATTCAATTTATTTAGGTAATGTTTTCGTTTGGTTTGCCTTACAAGCTCCATAAATTTATTTTTATATTGGTTGTAGCAGTCGGTATTCTCTGTAGTTGGCGTTAGTTTCATTACATTATATAGTCTTTCTTTTTCTATTGCCGATGTTATTAATCCTTTGGTAATCCAGGTATTTCTGCTTTTCTCTTTGTGACTAATTATTACTTTATTGGTACTAATATCTATTAGTTTTTTTATTTTCTCTATGAACAGTCCCGTTGCTTTGTCTATATTATTTATAGAGTATAATTGTTCCCAGTATTCTTGTTTGACATTTGATATTAGTTTTGAATTGTCGACAAAAAATTTGTAATTTTCCTGGTTGTTATTAACGGTAGGGATGTTAGAATGTTTTTCATTTGAAGATATCAGTAAAATAGTGGAGAAGTGGTCAGTAATATCGCTTTCTAGGATTATTGGTATACAAGTAATTTTGTTGGATAGGTCTTTCACAAAGCAGTGATCTATACATGTGCCACTGATGGACCTTGTAGGTAGGTTTATATAGGACAGAAATCCGTTACTTGATAGGATATTCAAGTATTCATTTGTGATGGGATCATCGTCCAAAATGTTTATATTGACATCTCCCAAGAAAATATGTTGCTTTAAATGAACTTTATTTTGATTTTGAAAAAAATATTCGATATTCTTTAATAACTCGTGGGGTTCTGAACATGGCGGACGATAAATTGCAGATACCTCAATTTTGTTATGGTTAATTTGGATCATTATGTTTAAAATTTTGATTCCATCGGTGAAAGTGAATGTATCATGATTATATTGCAGTGTATTTCTTACAAAAACTATCACCCCATCGTTTTGGTTATAAGTGCCAAAGTTATACAGCGTGTCATATCCCTGCTGATTGAAGCAAGAAATATCAACCACTTGCCACGTTTCAGTTAAAACTATTAGATCAAAATTGTACCATATTTGGTCGAGTAGTATTTTTAAGTAATCAATGTTGTGTTTTATACTCCTTATGTTCATATTAAAAATTCGAAATTTTGCATCAGAATTTTGTGTACGTTACATAAATTAAGTTCATCGACGTTTTTTGCTATATTTGTTGCAATACTTGGAATTCGGAAATCATTAATGTATTTATTTACTGACATTTTTAGGTCCTCTTTAGAGATAGGAGTAGTAAAAGATGAACTTGAATTTTAAAAAAAGTATCCTTAAGTTTTGTTGTTCCTGATAATATTTGTACGATGGACAGTTTTTGTCGGTAGGTGAGTGGTTAATATTATAATTTTTTTTATAACTTTCATTTCCATATCTATGGATTTAAAGAATCTGTATTCAAAATTCTATAAAACTACAATTGACAGAAGTCAAAAAAACAAAATTGACTCTACATTGTCTAGCTCAAAAAATATTTTGTTTGGTGTACCTCAAGGTAGTAAACTGGGACCACTACTGTTTATTTTATGCATTAATGATATTTGTGATATTTTGGATTATTGTAAAATATCAGATATTTGCAGATATACATATCGAGAAACGGCTTCGTATGATGACGGCGACATAATTTTTGTGTGAAGCTAAAATACATACCTCTCGTTTGAAGTCTAGAACGCAGACCATATTCTCGCCTTCCGTATAGTTGCACGCCATCGTTAGCATCCTACAATGCTGTACCATGGCAGCTCTGGTTATGGTCACACCCATCACGGAACCATCGCGATCCGTGCTGTATTCTATGTATGCTGGCGTTTCATCTGTCAGTCTGTCGAAAAATTAAAAGATTTTAATGTAACATGGTTTTAGAAAAATGGCACACTCTTACAGCAATATCGGTGTTGTTATTATTCCAATTTAAGGTGAGGGTCTTCGAAATGCTACCGAGGCTTAGCGAGTGCATACGATCGTTTTTCAAGATCATGATTTCTTTTTTTTTTCGAAATGAACGGTTGACGAACTACGAGTGCGAATTTAGCAATCCATTCTAAAAGCCTTACTTTATTGTTGTATCACCACATATTAGCTTTGTTATTACAAACGTATTTGTTTCTGAAACTTTCAGGACATATTCAACTACTATTACTACCAGAACCCGATTTTTTTATATTAAAATTCTGATTCACAGTGCACACTAACACCAATACAGTATTGTATTATATTCTATTGTATTGTACTGAGATAAAAATTTAAAACTGAGTAAACTTCAGGGTTTGATGATGTGTTGAAAGCTATTTTGAAAGAGTTACCTTGGTGTAGGTAGCCAATCTTTGGGCGTTTTCGCAAGATGTTCCGTAACGAACCAAGTCAGTTTCGGCCACCCTTTGAATTGTATCACTTCGCCGGATGTCGTTTTAGGTAAACCTTTAAGACAAGCCTCCGATGTTAAAGCCACTTGCACAGCACAACTGCCTAATAGAAAACCTATTTGGAGAGAACCTGCATCTCGCCTTGTTATCGGAACCTAAAAATAATAATCAATGATAAGCCTATACGATGTACAAAAATGATTCATACGAAGAGATTGGGTACATTCAGATTTTACTACCACTGTTCAGTTTAGTCTGGTATCGGGCACTATTTCTACAAGTTTTGCTGGTTCAGATCTCGCCCACGCCCGTGTTTTGGTCAGGTCTAGACAGCAAGGTGGTATCGTCTGCAAATAGGAAGCAGGATCCGTTATAAATACTCGAGGGCAGCTCATTAATATATATCAGAAATGGCAGGGGGCCAAGTACTGATCCTTGCGGTACCCCGTTTCAGATAGTTCAGCGGCGGTGCCGCCAGAGCTTCCAAACTGCTTCCTATTTGACAAATTCGAAAGAAATGGCGCCAGCTCGGTGTTTAGTACTATTCCTAGAAGTTTTATTGATAATCCTTTGTTGAAATGAGGTTTTCCGTCATCTAAAGAGAATTAATTTTACATTAATTTGATGGTTGGTATCTTACCTCTATAGGAACGGGGACGATTCCAGCTTGCAAGCATCCGTAGAAAGCACACAGAAAATTGATTGGATCGTTGTTGGGGTAGACTAGAGCCACTCTATCACCTGATTTTAAACTAGTGTCGCCGTTTTTACTAAACGACTTCGTTAGCAGTGCGTACGCTATTTTGTGCGATCTACTTAATAATTTACCTGAAAAACAAAACACATTTTATATAGGGTGCTCTTAAAATTGGCACTTTCTTTCACTTAGCATATATTGTCAAGCTAAGCAAAATTTTAAACAAAACATTATGTAATCTTTGCCGCCGCATGCCATGTAGGTATACCGGGCTGTATATTTATAAATCGGATTTGAAAAAAAGGTAAATGGCACACGTATTTTACCAACTTTCAGATAAAAATGAGGCGTAGGCAAAATACATGTTACGACGGCAATATAAATTAAGTGTTTACGGTTGTTGTTGAGAATGTACCTACCGTATGTTAATGTAGTTGATAATTTTCCATTTGGATCTAGCACCGTGGCGACTGAAGCCTTAAACGTGGCATTTCCGTATCTAGTAATAGCTGCTTCAAGACTTCTAGGTAGTCCTGAGGGAATCACTAATTGTTCTCCTACCGCTGGACTCATACAGCTACCTGAAATTGAAATTAAGAAAATTAAATACGATCTTTAGCATTACGATTCATTAATAAAGTCACAACTAGTAGTTCAGTTACATAGTATTTCTGGTGTCATTGCTTATATTTATGTATATGTAAATATTGCATTTGTCTGTAGATTAAAAGCAACTCTTTTAATGAAATAATGTCTTCTATCATAATTAATTCTTAGAAACATTATTGTTGAGTATGCTGTTTTAAAAAGATGAATAAAAGTTATAGAAATTGTGTTAATATACTCAGTGTAAGCAATAATTCTTCTTTATATGTTACCAAAAGCTTCTTCAATATTGCGCACTGATTTGAAAACAGTGACACATCCATAAAACACGATCTAGTGGCCACAAAGTGAAATAATTCGACAAGATTGAGCCTTGAGTAGTAGCGCAGGCGCAAGCTCTTGCATGTCATATAACATTAAAAAAACATAATATCTCATTTTCGCAGAAAACAAAACACAAACCTTCTGGTTTCGGCGCATTCGGGTCCTTCGGATTCGCCGCGATCTCCAGCTCAATGTCGTCATCCTCATAGAATTCCGGCAACGGTCTCCTCTTCGGCCTCTTGAGCGTATTGAGCAACTGTTGGATCTTCGCGGACACCTTCCATCTTCCGGTACCGCCGGTACTGCTTCCGTCTCCCGTATCCCCCGTACCGCCGCCGCCGTACCTATTTACGCGATCTGCTGCGGCCGGTCGTTGATTTAATACGGCCGACGGTCGCAGCCCGACGCTCATAGATGGCGTCGATGTGGTGTGGGTTACGTCGGGAGGTTGCGAATCTGAAAATAGTAGCAACGTTTTATTTGCGTACAGCCTATTTCAAGGGCATCCGTTACGTTGTGACGTCTACTGAGGTGAACAGCTGATCAGCAAGTGGCATCTTTGTATTGGCAATAATGAATAGATTATAAAAGTGGTAAAACTCAGGACCATGTCCAAAGCTGTTGTTCAGATATCTAGAATCTTTTAATGACTGGGAATTTTAACAATAAAATAATCGTTTACATGGAAAAATGTTATTATTGTGGATCTGTAAAAAATGGCTAAGTAAACTCACATGGTCTATAGTTGTGCGATATATCCGTGATCCCCTCCCTGGTCCAATGTTCCCTTTGCGTCCTTTGCGGCCGATGGGCGGCCGGCAGCGGGGGCGGCGGCGATCCTGCGCTGCTGGTGTCCGAGGGAGGTGGAGGGGGGAAGGCGCCGCCTCCGTGGCGGGAGGGTCGATCAGGGGTACCGCCTCCGCCTTCCGGCGCGCCTCCCACCAACGGATCTTCAGTCGCCAGGCTGTCTTCGTCGGATGAGGATTCGGCTGAAAACACGAAAAGAATCGATCAATGTGGAAACCAATTATTCGTTAACCAACTAGGTAATCGATCCATCTACCAATATGTCACAGTGGATCAATCATACCGGGAATTTGGCAGCTAATCAATCCGTCAGTCAACAAGTAGTAGAATCGACGAATCATTAGATGTCTTAATCACCCGATCAATGAGATCATCATTCAACAATAACCGAAATTATCCACGTTGGGATTCAGGACTACATTCCTCGTACGGTACAAGTGACTAAACCAGAGTCCAACGGCTGGTTCAACAAATTGTGCGACACAGGTGGTCAAGGCACATAGTACCTCCTTACGAAGCCCCACTATAGAGAACGGACAAGCCGACGTTGAGTTTAGAAACAAGTTAACGAAGCGATTCGCAATGCCAAAGACCAGCACGATGTAAAAATTAGGGTGTGCAGCGGAGCTTGCTCCAGTTCTTTCGCGTCTCTTCCAGATACCTTACGAATCCGGCACCTTCGAAGAAAACTGTCAATTGGCGGAATACCAGCTGCCACCAGCAGAAGATTTCAGCAATCACGATCTTTCCTCCTGCCTGTGTTTCATTTTTCCAACATACAAAATTCACTAAGATCTTGATGACTTCAGCCATGAATACGCGTCCTGGACACATTGCTAGCATCGTATTTTTAGCGTAGATATACTTTATTTTACTTATTGCGCGCACCGAGAAATTGCTATTCCTGGCGGATAATAAGAATGCAGATAAGACGGAGAAATCAGCATATAATAAATATGCAACACCCTGAGGGATTAAAGTCTGTACACTGTACGTACGAGAATTAATAAAAGAGGGTGAGGAAATATGTATATTTTGCCTTGAGAGTCTGGAACAGTGACGATATTAGAATTTGTATCAAAAATTTATTCCAAACATTATGAAATATGTATACATTATGGTGAAATGGGTAATAGGAGACGTCAAAGCAAGTCAAAAAGTTCATATGACCCATGGTCCAAAAGTCAATAGATTTTTGTTTAAATAAAAATAGTTTACAACTTTAAATGCTTTATATCAACGACAATCACCACAATCTTACTAATTTTTAGCCAAAATTTGAAGTCAGTAAGTAAATTTCATTAAATATTTAAAAAACACATGGCAACAGCGCGTCGTCATCACTATTATCGAACCGGCAATCGATCGCAAACGGTAACAGTGGTTAGTTATCGGGCATCGGGCGTGTTTTGTTTTTGTTCGCGTACGTCGTCGTGTTTTTTTACAATTTTTGAATGAACATTATCCAAATCGCTGGATCGAAATGCTCCTGATCCTCGAAAATGGCCAGCAAGATCTCCTGACCTCAATTCGATGAATTTTTGGTATTGGCCGATCCCTGGGGAACACCTGCACTGACGTTGTGGGATGAAGAGGAGAATCCGTCAATTTTGACGATCAACATGCAGATCCCAGTCTGCACCTTCAATACTCGGAATATTAGGATTTAAAAATCTTACCGGAGTCATGTCTATCCCTATCAGGACTTCTCGCCATCACTGACGTTCTCTTCGATGGCATCGGCATTGAAGGTTTGTGCCTGTTCTGCATCGCTTGAGCCAAAGCTTGCTGCACAGCCTCTTGTCTGACTTCTACAAAAATAAAAAAAAATTAGATCACCGATAAATATAATATTCTGATTTATCAGTGCAGTGAAAAATTAGTAGCTAGTATTCACCAATCAAATTAGTTTTTTTTAGATACCCGTTCAAAAAGATTATATTCGGAAACTTGTCGTATGCTGGACCATACTTTTGGTGGTACGAAAATGTCTAAATGGTAATATATTTATTTATTTCTCATCTTTCTGTAAATATTCAAATCAAATTTTATCTTTGCACTGATAAGCCGAGGACAACGTTTACAAGCTTACAATCATTACTCATCAGGTTAACATCGAGACATTGGTGTTGCACGAAACATTCAAATAAATCCAAAATTGGTGATCGATCAACATTGACACTATGACTAACATCAATGCAACTACAATAGTGCAGTGTTCAATCATTATCAGTAGCTCATTTAAGCGATATAAATAGCTAACATGCTTAGGAATACTTACGGTTTGAATGTGGGTAAGACACCATCGAAAAAATATGAGATAAGACTAAGAGCCCGAACACACGTTGCTTGTTTATCAATTCTTTGGTGGTTCAGTTTGAAAGAAAAGAATTCTCGGATTCATTAAATTGTCTTGTGTATACATCTATGCTTGCTTCATGTTAAAACTCACTCAAGAGAATAATTACAACATTAGAAAAAAGGTGTTACTACCACCGGTTAAAATTCTACAAATAAAAAAAATAACCCGATGTTGACCAATTTGGCAAAGCCATGAAATGCTTGCTACTATCTGAAACTTTCTTTGACGTCAAAAACTTCCTAAAGCTCAAGTGTTTTCGTCTCGCATAATTTTTATTGCGTTTAGCCTTTTTTATAATTCGATTTATTGTTCGTCTGAATTTTAGCTTTGGTTTTATTAACTTTTTACCTTTTATAGACACTTTGTGTTTCATATTTGTCTGCTGTTTGTGAGAAACGGGCTGCGATAGTGCAGGCCGATTTCTATCAAAATCTCCGCAACCCGGCAAATACGCAGCACCGGGTGTGAAATTATTTCACTAACGAAGGTTGTGGCTGCAACACGAGAGCACCGAAAATAGCCCCGAGTCACGTTCAGCTCTCGTATTTAAGGTCGACGGATATTACAAAAAATTACGAGTTTTAACCTCACAACGACGATTCTATAACAAAACAATTCCTGTTCCGTGGCCATCCCTGCGTTGACCATTTCGCACGCCCTCTATTGTCGAACAGAAACATCAACCACATCCCGGCGATGACCTTTAAAGAGATGGAGATGTTGTTATGATTGTATCTCCTATACTACAACTATTTAAAACTGTAATGACTCATACGCGTGATCAACACGTGATCAGAGCTCGATCCCGGCTTCCTTCCAGTACAGCCGTATAGCGTACGACATATGTCGTTTCTGTGGTTTTGCGCTGGTCAACAGCACAGACAGAGGTGGAAATAATGGCTGAATGTTCTCCGCCGGTAGAACCAATGAAATCAAAGACGCGCCTCGACCGGCAGACTCATAGGCGTCGGCAACGCATTGGAACGTGTTTCGTTGAGCGATCGCATATTGTGTGTTTTTATAAGAATTGTTGTGTGATTGTTATTGTTGTGGTTTCTGTGGTTACTGTTTTGGTTATACTTAACCATGGAGAGTACAAATGGCACGAGTGGAAGTACTGAAAGCCAGGGAACAAGTAGACGGCTTCGTAAAGCACTGAAGAGGGACGCGAAAGAAATCGTGCTCAACGTGTTCAATTATCTGAACAGAACTATGTCGCAGGGAGATGCTCGCGCGCGTTGTGAAAGTATGACAGGCGTTCCAGAGTGGACCATTCGCAGGGTGGTGCATGAAAAGAAGAAAACTGGAGCTACTACTGATCCAAAGTTTAATTTGAAGGGACGAAAGGCCGTTAAATTGGATGACGATAGCAAAATGGCGTTAAGGCGAACCGTACATTCATTCTTCTTTAGGAATGAGATACCAACCCTCAACGCTGTACATGCAGCGATTTTTATAGTTGTTGACATTTCTTGGCACAAATATAAAAGACAAAGTAGCAGGTCAGTATCTTCTCGAGTTATAGAATCGTGAGCACCCATACGTTTAAATAAAAATGTTTAAGTTTTGCCAGAAGAAGCTAAAGAACCTATGTCTAAACTTACACAAAGGTTCGCGCAGATTGCATATATGAGTGAGATGTATAAAAGTGATGTGTGACTTGTCAAAAATCGTGAAATGAGCCATAACCGAATTAAGCATGGATTACTGCGTAATTAACGTGCAGAAGAATACGTACGTGAAGAGAGTGCAACACACTTGGAACTACATCCGCGCAAAGTGACCGTGCTTCGCCTTTCAATAACGCGTTCGTGACTCATGACTGCCGCGGTGTGGCTCGACGTGTCTGCTTTTAAATATTTAAACTTTTCATTTAAATTCATATGTATTACACATATACGCGAGTGATATCACCGTATGCAGAAGAATATGAATTGGGATGATCGGCTTTAGTGAAATCTTCGACGGAATGAGGTCATGTACGTCTCGGAAGAGATGGCGTCGAGAAGGTTGACTTCGCACTTCCTGCGCAGTTCGAAAACGGAATACGAAAAAAAATCAATAAATAATATGGGGTTGACGCAGGAAAGTAAACGCATATTAAAACAAGAAAGATCGATATTCAAATCAAGTTGGGTACTTTATTTTGAAGTTTCATTTATACCATTTATGTATGAAAAATAATATCGCTCAAATGTTCACCACGACTGGATTTACAGACGTCCACGCGATGGTCGAAATTTTCAATGACATTTTGCAACATGGTCGGTTCTATGGCATTTATCTCGGCAATGATGTTGTTTTTGAGTTCTTGGAGGGTGGCTGGTTTGTTGACGTAGACTTTGCTTTTCAAATATCCCCATAAAAAGAAGTCCAAGGGAGTCAAATCGCACGATCTTGGTGGCCATGGCACATTTCCTCTGCGCGAAATCACGCGATCACCGAAGGAGGACTGCAATCGATGGATATTGACGTTGGTTGTGTGGCATGTTGCATCGTCTTGTTGGAAATAAACATCGTCCATATCCATTCCTTCAAGTTGCGGCAAAAAATAGTCCTCTATCATCACGTGATATCGCTCAGAATTGACGGTAACGGCGTCCCCGGTCGTATTTTTGAAAAAGTAAGGTCCGATGATGCCTTTTGACCACAATGCACACCACACAGTCACTTTTTGAGAATGCATCGGCTGCTCTTGATACTCACGGGGATTTTCGTTCTCCCAGATGCGGCAGTTTTGCTTGTTTACCGTCCCATTCAAAGTGAAATGCGCTTCGTCGCTGAACATGATTTTTGATGAAAAATTGGCATCCATTTGGCGGTGTTCAAGGAGCCAATCTGAGAACGTTCGGCGCGAAAAATGGTCGCAGCTCTTGCGTCAATTGGATCTTGTAGGCGTGTACATTCAGATCCTTGTGGAGAATGCGGAGCAAACTGGTTCTCGAAATGCCCAATTCTTGGGATCGACGCGTTGTTGATTGTTTCGGATCGTCTCTCACACTCTCCTTCACAACAGCAATATTTTCCGGTGTGCGAACGCTCCTTGGCCGGCCAGAGCCTGGCAGATTTGCCACAGAACCTGTTGCCTCGAATTTACGCACCAGACGACCGATGGTTGTTTCGTTTGGGCGGTTGTTGCGACCGAAATGTTCACGAAGCGCGCGAAACGTGTTTTTTATTTTTGCACCATTTTTGTAGTGCTCTTGAATAACTTTAATGCGGTCTTCAATCGAACACGACTCCATAGCGATCGATGGTAAATATTCAACTAACAAAATGACATGTCGGTGACAGATAATAAAGATGGCGTCTATGTCAAATTGACGTTTACTTTCCTGCGTCCCTATTGGACAACCCTTTATAAACATGAATAAACAATCGACAATATTAAATAAAAACATGAATTTTATTAAAAAATCGAACATTTCTTTAAATTTTGACAATCCTGGTGACATCCACTCTTAATGTTACAATCATTCTTTCAGCAACTATCTATGATAGGAGAGTTATGAAAATATAGTAAAATGCACCCCACGCTTTTTATTCTAGATTAAATTATTCTGTTAATAACTTAAATTTTATTATAATTTTATTTTGAGGTCATTACTACTGGAATATGAACTCTTTATAATTAAAAATTATTTTCTACCTTCTGGTTCGGTTAGCGCGTTTCTATTATTTAATGAAACAACCGTCGTATTCTATGCAGTGGTGATGCTAGCAATTTTTCGACAACTTACTGCAACACTGTCCGCACCTTCTAACCACACTTTTCTTCATTTTGGCTGTTTTTCCGCTGTATCCCGTCTATTTTTCAGCGATTCCGTATCCGTAATCCGGCGATCAACTGACGGCATTCGAGGCGATGTCTTCTACCGAAACGATCGGTCGCGTTATCAGCGACCATGCGGGTGAACTGAACGTCTTATCATCACCAGGGGGCATTGTTTGCTAACAATGAGCCGCATACGACATGCAATTTTCTGATAATGACATACGATGCGGACACAAAGGCGGACACAGCGGGAACAGAAAGGAGTTCATTCAAGAATTAAATAAAAGATAAAATAAGAGTTTAACATTTAAAGTGGAGGACATGACTGATATAAAAAAAAACAGCCCCAGTAATTCTACTCCTGTCACAGTTGCTAACATGGGCGTGTTCAAGGTCGAGGTATTTTGTTATGCACTAAATGAAAGGGCAATAACTAAAAATATCTGTACTACTCAGCTCTCGGAAACTGCTTTCTTGACAAAAACCAAGAGATAAGCTTTTAACAAAGGTAAACAAAAACAAAGATAAAACGTTGACATTGTTGCCGCAACATGCTTTAAGTATAGTCTTTATGTTGCCAGAAAAACAAGTTGTGACTGTGACTGAGCGTATTTCGTGCGTTTTAGATGCTCAAAAGCGGCACATTCACAACACATCTACAGTATATTCAGATAAGAGATAGACCGGATGTAAACAAAAGGTTCGGGTGATTTTCACGCTAACGCCGCCGTCTCGAAGTAAAACAGGAGCCCTCATTGGTCAATTCGCAATTAAATGCCTATGCCGAGCGGCAGAGCAGTCGTATCAAGGCAGAGTCACATTCAGGTTCAGACGTGTTACGTAT